CTAAACATTTGTACCCCTATAATATGCTGAAATTAAAAAAGATAATATTATATGCTTTCAGGATGGCCGACTGGTAGCACCATAATATTTAAAATAGAGTTCAGCAAAAAAATAACTAAATAAAAATAAACCCCTCATAATAGTACCCACAATAGCAGAGATAATTTGGCCACAACATTAAACTATTACTGGTGGGTTAATTTTAGAGGTATTGCTGAGGGCTCTTCCAAAACACATCGTACCTGCCAACAACTGAATTCTGGTAAAACTGTGAAGGTGGACAGTTTCCAAAAATTCTGAATACTTCCAAATGGACTTTACACCAATACCTCCTGCAGTGCGCTATCAATACATTCTTGTTATTATTTGCTTTTCTTTACTGGGGAGCTACAGCCTTATTTAACTTTAGCAAGAAAAAAAAAAAAAAAGATTTGCTTTCATGCATCCAGCCTGGGAAATTCCCATTTCTTCTCCTCTAACAGCAGAAACACTTATTTTACAGTCATTGTTATTAAAAATTTCTCTAAAGTTCTAGCTTTTGCTGAAACATTTCACTATCTTTATTGTCCATGGTCTTCAGTAAAAGTAGAGAGAAGTATCGGAATTCTAAAACTAAAATTAGCATAGCTCTCAGAAACCCACAAACTTCCAAGGCCCAAACTACTATTATTGGCCTTGTGACAATAAGATCAAACCTTGCTAGGACCCACAGGTTATCTCCTATTGAGTTAATAGCAGATTGTCTCATGCATTTGGAAATTTCACTTCTAATCCAGATTCTACCTTGTTACAGGCTTATATGATTAGATACTCATACAACACTTCTGGCTTTATTAACAGGTAATAAGGTACATTTACAAAATACCCACTTAAATAGACTCTGCATAATCTAAAATCTGAAGATTTGGTCTTCTCAAATAGATTTCAGAAAAAAACTGAGTTTGAACCTACTTGGACAAGATTTTTCAGGTACTGCTACCAAGTGGCATGACAATAAAACTCTAAGTTGTTGATAGTTTTATTCATGTTTCTCAACCTAAAAGACATATATCGCTTCCTCCTAACTACTAGGATATCCATTCTGTCAAAATACCTTAAACTGAGGATTCGTAGGAATCCTCCAGAAGCCAGCTACTACAGAAGTGGATAGCTTCCACCCAAAACAATGAAATAAGCTTTTACCTTCAAAAATGAGCAGTTTACACCCAAGACAATGCAACAAGATTGATTTTGCAACACTCTTCTGAATCTTTGCATTACTACTAATCTTATGCTCCTTATCTTCATCCTGTTATCTTTGACCCCATATAGTCTCCTTCTGTCACTTACAGAAAAACAAAATTCTCTCATATATTTTTCCCAAACCATAGCTACTCTGAATTTAACTGATTGCTGGATATAATATCTTTCACTTGACCTTGCTGAAATATGTATATGTATACATATATGCAAATACTTCATGGTGCACCTGTATCTATAAGACAAATAAATAAGCCCATGATTACCTGGCTCTATAAATAGACCCAGCTGGGTTCATTGCCTATATTTTATAATATAGGTCCGTGACTTCAAGAATTAAGGACTAATAATCAATTTTTTTCTGAAAATTTCTTGTGTTACAGTTGGTCCACGGATCCTGTCTAGAGACTTAAATGCTACTTCTCAGCCCTGTCACATCAAAGGATTCAACTCTGCCTGAAACAAATAGAGCAGTAGAGAGTGACCTGAGTCCACCATCAAACTGTATGTATTCTCTAAATAACCTCTGATCAGCAAAATCTCAGCAATGATTAAAACCTGGACATCATGGATTAATTTCATGTGGCCTTACTTTGTCTGCCCTTGGCTGCGAGGGGACACTGGAAAAGTGAAAAGTAGCCCCTGACATACATGAGCTTGCCTAGCATACTATCACGAAGGTCTTGGTGCTCTCCTATTGAACATGAAAATGTTTATACATCATCAACTTCAGATAAGACCACTCTGTGACTACGCCTGATCCAGACAAAAACATGACTACTCCATAATCAGATCTGAACACTGAAAAAATATGAAGATTGTCTAAGCCACAAAAATTACCCAAAATGCCCATATCCTGGCTAACATGAGTGAAAGCTACTTCTTTACCAAGTATATTCTTAGCCTGATTCTAGGCTTCCATCCTTCTAGATAAAATTTATTAAGATACCCAAACATAGAATTATGCCCACTCTCTCATAAGATCAAATCTAGAGTGAACACCCACATCCTTTCAATCCTCCCCCAAATGAATCCCAAATCCTATAAGTTCTTCTGACATCCTCTTACCGAGGATGACTTTCCACAATGTGTGTTATCCCTGAAATGAGTAATAAATCCAATTTGTTACACTACTGGTATGTTCTTGGTGGGCGACAACAAGAAGGCATTTATACTCAAAAGCATTATTGAGAAAGATTAGGGAAGACAAAGATGAATGGAGGTGTACTGGAAGATTCCATATTTTAAAGATATTGATTCTCCCCCAAATTGAAAAGTGACAATCAAAATGCCAAGGCTTTTGTGTCAACATTGGGAATGAATTCTAAAATTTATATAGAAATGCAATGGGGCATGAATAGTCAAGGCAATCTTAAAGAACAGAGCTGGAAGACTAAAATTACCATATATTAATACCTGTCATAAAATTAAAACAATTAAGACTGTGATCTTATTACAAGGATAAACAACCCAACCAATGGAACAACATTCATCATATAGAAACAAACCCACACATATTTGATCACTTGATTTATGACAAATGTGATACTATATATAGTACCATGATGAAAGGTGTGTTTTTTTTCAATAATGGTGCCTGATCAATTGAAAATTGGTATGGTATGTTACCATCTACCATATGGTACAAAAGAAACAAATCTTGACCTCTGACTTCACATCATACTCAAAAATAAGTTCCAAATGATTTTTAGATCTCAAAATGAAACATAAAACAATATACATTTTTGGAAGCAAGCATAAAAAACTTCATTGTCACCTGGTGTACACAAAGATTTCTTAAACATGATTTAAAAAGCACAAGCCAGAAAGAAAATCAATTGTTATATATAATAATAAGAACTTCTTGCCAGCAAATTGGTATTAACTGATCAACACCTAAGTGGACATATAGGAATAACATTTATCAAGCATTGGGCAGATGGGAGGGGGGAGGAGGGAAATATACATATATAATGAGTGTGATGCGCACTGTCTGGGGGATGGACACGCTTCAAGCTCTGACTCTGGGGGAGAAGGGAGGGAAAGACAACACATGTAACCTAAACATTTGTACCACCATAATATGCTGAAATAAAAAAAAAATTTTAAAAAAAGAAGTTCTCTTATGTTGCTGTTGGTCTATATCTCTAATTTGTGCCAGTGCCATGCTGTTTTGGTTACTATAGCTTTGTTGTATAGCTTAAAGTCTGGTAAAGTGATACCTCCAGATTTGTTCCTTTTTGCTTAAGGTTGCTTTGGCAAGTTGGCTCTTTTCTGGTTCCAAATGAAGCATAGAATTATTATTTCTAGAGCTGTAAAAAATGACGTTGGTATTTTGATAGGGATTGCATTGAATCTGTTAATCACGCTGGGTAGTATGGACATTTTAAAAACGATGATTCTGCCAATCCATGAGCATGATATGTTTTTCCATTTGTTTACATCATCTGCAATTTCCTTCCTCAACAATTCATAGTTCTCTTTGTAGAGATCTTTCACCTCCTTGGTTAAGTATATTCCTAGGTATTTTATTCTTTGTTGCTATTTGAATGGTATTGACTCTTGGATTTGACTCTCAGCTTGACTGTTATTAATGTATACGAATGCTACTGATTTGTATACATTGATTTTGTAGCCTGAGACTTTGCTGAATTTATTTATCAATGCCAAGAGTCTCTTGGCAGAATCTTTGGGGTTTTCTAGATATAAGATCATAACATCAGCAAAGAGTGATAGTCTGACCTCCTCTTTCCCCATTTGGATGCCCTCAAATTCCTTCTCTCGCCTGATTGCACTAGCTAGGAGTTCCAGCACAATGAGAAATAGAAGTGGTGACAGTGGGCATCCTTGTATTGTTCCAGTTCTGAGTGGGAACTGGATGCAAAAATCCTCAATATAGTGGGCATCCTTGTATTGTTCCAGTTCTGAGTGGGAACTGGATGCAAAAATCCTCAATATAGATGCAAAAATCCTCAATAAAACATTTATCAGGTGTTGGGCAGGTGGGAGGGAGGAGGAAGGAATGGGTATATACAAACATAATGAGTGAGATGCACAACGTTTGGGGGATGGTCACGCTTGAAGCTCTGACTTGAGGGGGGAGGGGGCATGGGCACGGTATGTGATTAAATTAAAAAGCTTCTGTACAACCAAGGAAACAATCAACAGAGCAAATAGACAACTACAAAATGGGAGAAAATATTTGCATGCCATACATCCAATAAAGGGCTAATAACCAGAACCTACTAAGAACTCAAGCAATCAGCAAGAAAAAAAGTCAACCAACTCCATTAAATAGTGGGCAAAGGACATGAACAGAGGCTTCTCAAAAGAAGACTAATGGCCAATAAAAATATGAAAAAAGCTCAATGTCACTAATCATCAGAGAAATGCAAATCAAAACCACAATGAGATACCACCTAACTCCAGTGAGAATGGCTTTTATCAAAAAGTCCCAAAACAATAGATGTTGGCATGGATGCAGAAAGAAAGGAACACTTATATACTGTTGGTGGGACTTCAAATTAGTGCAACCTTTATGGAAAATAGTATGGAGATTCCTCAAAGAATTCAAAGTAGACCTACCATTTGATCAGTCAAATGGGTATTTACCCGGCTACTGGGTATTTACCCAAAGGAAAAAAAGTCATTTTATCAAAAAGACACTTGCACTAGAATGTTTATTGCAGCACAATTCACAACTGCAAAGATGTGGAATCAACTCAAGTGCCCATCAGTTCATGAGTGGATTAATAAAATGTGGTATATGTACACTGTGGAGAACTACTCAGCCATAAAAAAAATAAATTAATACCTTTTGCAACAATCTAGATGATACTGGAGTCTATCCGCACTTTAATCATCCCTAAACCATTCCCCACCCCAATCCATGGAAAAATTGTCTTCCATGAAACCAGTCCCTAGTACCAAAAAGTTTGGGGACCGCTGCACTAGAGTATTCATAACAGCACTATTCATTCCAAAAACTGGAAATCACCCAAATGCCCATCAAGAGTAGAATGGGTTAAAAAAAAAACAAAACACTTTCTGATATGTTCACAAAATAGAATACTGTACAATAAGAAAAATGAATGATTGATAGCTACAAACAACAATGTGAATACTGACTGGAAGATGCTAAACATGAAAATAATTACAATACATGATTCCAATTATATAGAGCTCAAAAATAGGTAAAACAAATCTATGGTGTTAAAACTTAGGATAGTGTTTACCCTTGGGAAAGAGGGTGTTCCAATGAGTGGAATGAGATATAATGGGGACTTTTGGTTGCTGGCAATATTCTGTTTGTTGACTGGTTGCTGGTTACACAAATATGTCCAATTTATGAAAATTCATTGAGTTGTATATTTATAATTTGTGTACTTTTCTACAGAAATATTATATTTCAATTAAAGTATGGAAAAAGAGACTATTAGAAGGACATATGTTAAAATGCTAACAGTAAATGTCTCTTGGTGGGAACATGATTATTTTTAAGATTTTTTTGACATGTTCTTATATATTCCAACCTAATAATAATAAAGTCTTATTATTTGAGTCTGAATAAAATATCACTGCTTAACAAATGAATTGAGTCTAAGAAATCATTACAAGTTTAGATATAAAGAAATGTTATAAAAAGTTGGGTATAACTACCACAATGTTATATCTATACCTCATCCAGAAATGAGATTTTCTATATGTGAATTTCCTCTGTAATTACATTATTATTTTGAATACCAACCCTTTTAAAAACATGGTATGTATCTTCTGGATTCAAAATTCTATAATAGATATTTATCTGCCTTCTTAAACAGAAGTTAACTTTTCTTGATGAGTCTAGGTCATTAGTGATTATAAAGAATTTGAGAACAATTATGACATCTCGGGCTTTTTGTCCTTGCACCAAAGGCCCTAAAAGAACTATAGTATTTTAATTCTAATGTCGGCTTTCAATACTGTTTCCATCTCCTTCCCTTTGAAGTGTCTCCCAGTTGTCCCTTCTTGCAGCTGTAATATCTTCTAGCTGACTTCTAGCATTTCTCATCCTTCTTAATTTTCTATCTTTACTGTCCATTGGCCTGGGAAAATAAATGACAAGTCTTGTTTGAAAAGTTGTTTTAAAAAAGTTAACTATGAGTAAAGAAAAAAACACAATGATATACCAGAACACACCCACCAATATGCCTACAATTAAACAGAATGATAATACCACACATAAACAAGAACACAGAGCAATAGAAACTCTCATACACTACTGGTGGGGGTGTAAATTGGTGCAAGAATTTTGAAAAATTCTCTGACAATACCTATGAAACCTAAAAACACTCATACTTCTGATCAAGCAATTCCATTCATAGACTTATTTCCAACACGAATATACTCATGAACCAAAAGACATGTGCAAAAATGGTTCATAGCAGCATTATTCATAATAGCCACAAACTAGAAAAGAGGTAAATGTCCATCAACAGTTGACAGGATAAGTTTTAGTACATATTCATATGATGGTAAACTATATAGTAATGAAAATGAACAAACTACTGCTACACATGACGTGGATAAATAACACAACATAGTGGGAGTTTGTTGGGAAAACATATTAATCAATACATGCTTTCTAATTCTATTGATATTTAAAGTTTGGGCACAGACAAAACTAATCTGTGATGCTAAAAGTCAGAATAGGGGTTTCCTGTCAGAACAAATGAGAGGAAAGATATTGGAAGAAAGTGCCATGAGAGCTTCTGAGATGCTGGTAATGATTTATTTCTTGATTGGCGCTATAGTCAGATAGTATGTTAAATTTATCATAACTTATAAAGCTCTACATTCATGATGTGTGCATTTTAATCTGTGTATGTCATATTTTGGTAATAAAGTAAAAATACCTTATTAAAATTATGCTGAAGACAAACAACTGTATGGAGAAATATTCACATGTTTTAAAAGTATAAAAAAGAGGTCAGAAAGTATCAAAATAAGCTCATAATGGAGAGTATGATCCCATCTTTTTACATGACATTTAAACAGAGTAGAAAACATGTCATCAGTCACAGGCACAGCTCCTTTGTTATTTGTTTAGCAATAACTAGAACTGTTTGGAGACTTATGGAATAGAAATGGTTGAGACCAGAAATGTAGCCCAATGTGGCCAGGGAACAGATTTCATGGAAGGATGTGCTGGGGTATAAAAATAGAGAGCTAAGTGGGAACTAATTTGTTAATGGTTTAAATGCTGTGGAATGGGATTAGGATGTTATTTCACAGGTAAGATATTACCATTGAATGCTGTTCTTCTTTATTGGATGGAGAGTGGTGGTAATAGGAGGTTCAACTCATGAGCTGGGTTGCAGGGGGAAATTTTTTTGTTTGTTTATAACTGAAGAAATTAAAACTCCTCTCTGAATTTGCCTCTGGGAAGCACCTAAGACAAGGAACATGGAGCCCTTCTGGAGAAGGGGAAAGACCAGGGTGAGAGACTCCATCAGATCTGACCTCAATCACACTCTTGTAGCAGCTTGAAAGATGCTGCTTTCTGAAACATTCTCCCAAGGAAGGATCAGCACATTCATTGGTATAAACATTGATCTCTTTAGCCAAGTTTGTCCAAATCCATTGTCCTCAACTACCTACATTGCTCTTATAGAAAGCGCTTGGGATGTAGAAAATGTCAGAGGTGAGTTGCCTCCACATGTGAAGTTAGTGGCCTCTGAAGGAATTCCAGGGCACAGGATTACTTAATGTATCAGTATTCATTACCATCAAGAATTTAAGGAAGGATTTCAATTGTGGCTGCTGATGGCAATCTTATATAAATTTTTTCTCTTCCCAATGCTCTACGCATTCCTTGACGGTTGAAGGCTGGGATTACAGCTCTGCTTTAGCCCAATGGTTTTGTAGCATTTCCAGAAAATAAAGTAGCTGACCCCTCTCTTTCTAGCCAAAGTGTTTGGATTATCCCTCCCCAAACACATGTGTGCACTTACACACATACACATGCATGAACAACCCCCTGAATGAACAGGCCCTATTCTGGTGCTGCCATTTCCACCGTGTGGGGCCACAATCAGTTCTAATGTACTAAATGAAGAACAGGAAATCCAATTGTTCCTGTCTAGACACCTTCATACTCATCTCCCACCCATCCCAGCATACTGGCTCTAGCCACCCTGAGTGACTTGCTGTTACACAAACTTATTTTGTACTTTCACTTCTCTGGGCCTTTCCTGTTGCTGTTCCCTCAGACTAGAATACCCTATAAACCCTTCTCATCCTTTTCATCACTTACAGCTCAACTCCTTCTTCCTTGAGGCTTTCTTGGCAACTTCCCCCAATCTCAGACTAAGATGTAATTCACTGCTTGCTCCTTCTGTGTTTGTACTATATGTTAATTGACCCTCCTTCAGAGCACCCATTTCCATTTATTTTACATGAGTCATGTTTAATAAATAGGGCTAAAGTTCAGGTGTACTTATTCTTAAGACTGACAGACCTGGGTTCAAATCCTGATCTCTTTCACTTGTTGCTGCTTGAATTTGGACAGGTAAATTCACCTCACTGACCCAGTTTACTCATCTGTAAAATAAGGATCATTAAGAGTAGCTACCTCTTAGCTAAGTTTATAGGATTTGATATGAAAAAAGTGAAAGCATCAGAAACAGTGCCTGGTATATAGTAACTGTCCCATACGTGTTAGCTCTCATTGATATTACCCTGTTTGAATCTACCTCAGAATGTAAGCTCCACCCAAAAAGGAATAATCGTTATGTTTGTCCTCTGATGTACCCCCAATACCCAGCACTGAGCCTGGCATGTGGCGAGTATTCAAGAAATATCTGTTGAGTGAGTGGATGCATTAATGAATCTGTAAAATAACTGTCATCATTAGCATCCTCCTCCTCCTCTCTGAATCCTCTACTGCCTATTAGCATGCCTCTTTATACCCCACAGAGAAACATCAAGTGAAGCATCATTGAACACCTCCCATTCCCTTGCCCCTTTGCTTTATCTCTGCTCCCGCCTTTCTTGAATTCGCTTCTCTAACAAGTTTGAGTCCAGCAGCAACCGCTTCAACCAGCCTCGCTCGCCCGGCAGAGGTGGGGGCCGGGGTGGCAGACTGGGAGTGGGGCGTGGCCACCACGTCGCAGAGCCTGACTGCGCCTGCGTAGGTTGCGGCAAAGCTAACCGCTCTGAGGCTTGCGGTCATTGCTGGCCAGTGCTCGTGTAGGAAGATCGCTCATCAGATCTCACTTCTGATCCGCCCAGCTCCTGGGGCTCGGGCTTCGGCTTTGTGCCGAGGCACCAACACACGTACCGTCCTCTCTCCGACTGATCGCTGACCTCCCCGTTCCCGCTCCCGTCTCCTGGAACCATGTCTCTGGTAAGCCAGAATGCGCGCCACGGCAGCGCAGAGGCGGCAGATTACAGCGAAGGCCTGGGCGAAATGCAGGCCACTAACGCCTCTGGGCCCCCCACCTCCATGCTAGTCCCTGATGCCCCCCAGGGCCTTCAGGCGCCAGTCAACCCTCAGGGTGCCAGTGCTTCCCAGGCTGCTCAGCACCCCAATGACCTCGAGGTCCTGATCGACGAGCAGTCCCGACGTTTGGGGGCGCTCAGGGTCCACGACCCTCTAGAAGACAGGACAATTGCTTTGGTGAATTTCATGCGAATGAAAAGCCAAACTGAGGGGTCTATCCAGCAGTCAGAGATGCTGGAGTTTCTCAGAGAATACTCAGATCAGTTCCCTGAGATACTCAGACGAGCTTCAGCTTACCTGGACCGGGTCTTTGGGTTGAACCTGAGGGTTCTTGATCCCCAGGCCGAAACCTACAACTTGGTCAGCAAGCGGGGTCCTCAGACCACGGATCGGATAGCAGAGTCCCTGGACATGCCTAAGGCAGGTCTCCTGGCCCTGGTCCTAGGTCACATCCTCTTGAATGGCAACCGGGCAAGAGAGGCCTCCATTTGGGACCTGCTGCTAAAAGTTGATATGTTGGATGAGCCTCAGCGGATCAACAACCTTTATGGGAACACAAGGAACCTCCTTACTACTGACTTTGTGCGTATGCGATTCTTGGAGTACTGGCCAGTATATGGCACTAACCCCCTTGAATTTGAGTTTTTGTGGGGTTCTAGAGCCCACAGGGAAATCACAAAGATGGAAGCCCTGAAGTTTGTGGCAGAGGCCCTTGATGAAGAACCCTGGAGCTGGCCAGAAGAATATAACAAGGCCATGGAGGCTGACAAGGCCAAAGAAAGAAGCCAGGCTGCTGGCTTGGAGTTTTGGTCCGAGGACACTATGAATGATAAGGCAAATGACTTGGTACAGTTAGCCATTAATGTCACTGAGGAATTGCTGCCTATACATCAGGATGAACTATTGGCTCACACTGGCAAAGAATTCGAGGATGTGTTCCCCAATATCCTCAGTCGAGCTACTCTAATCCTTGATCTGTTCTATGGGTTCTCTCTGATTGAGGTCGATACCAGTGAGCACATCTACCTTCTTGTCCAGCAACCAGAATCAGAAGAAGAACAAGTGATGCTAGAGAGCCTGGGGCGACCCACTCAAGAATACGTGATGCCGATCCTAGGTTTGATCTTCCTGATGGGCAACCGTGTCAAAGAAGCCAATGTCTGGAACTTGCTTCGGAGATTTAGTGTGGATGTAGGGAGAAAGCATGCCATCACCTGTAAGCTTATGAGACAGCGCTACCTGGAATGCAGGCCTCTGTCCTACTCTAATCCAGTTGAATATGAGCTTCTATGGGGTCCTCGAGCTCACCTTGAAACCACCAAAATGAAAGCCTTGGAGTACATGGCCAGGCTCTACAGAAAGCGGCCACAGGACTGGCCAGAACAATACAGGGAGGCTATGGAAGATGAGGAGGCCAGAGCCAGATCTGAGGCTACTTCCATGTTCTTCTTTGGCCCCATGTGAGGTTCGGGGAAGTTGTGTCACTTCAGTGGAATGGCATAAGTTAGAAGGGCCTTGGGAAAATGGGCACTGGGACCCTAAATCAGAAGTCTGGAAGCGTTGAGGTGGGGAATACACACTGTGCTTGCTATCTGTGTTCCAGTTCTAATAGTATTTCCTTCCTTTTAATATACCTCTGAATTAGGTTTATAAGTGAAATTGCTCATTTGCCAGCCCTGTCTTGTTTCAGTATAAAACTTCAGATAGCTGTGTAAAATGTATTCGTAATATTTACATCTTTGACATAATCAGTAAAATGATCTGGTACTGGACTTAATTTACAATAACAACACACACACAACAAAAACAAACACAAAATGACTGATCTGTGGTTGCCCTCCCTTTGTGTCTTCTGCTATGTGTATATATATATATTTTTAAAAGACTGTCATTTACCTGTATTTGCTTTGCTGTTCCAGAGTGTAGTGAAAAATAAAAGCATAATGAATTAGACACTGTGCTTATGCACTCATTTATTCTATAAACATTTATTAAGCACCTGGCATGCTCAGAGCACAGTGCTCGGTGCTGGGAATCTAAGGGCGAAGAAGACCCAGCTGGGCCACAGGGCTTAAGGGTGTGGGGTCATGGAAGTAAACCAGCAATTATATTAAGCTGCAGCAGGTGGTATAATAGGGGTAAGCTCGGAGTGCTGTGGGAATTCTCTGGGATAACTCCCAACTTTAGGTGCTGGGAGGGATGGTGGAGAAGGCGACGGGCTCCAAGAAAAACTAGGGAAAGTACAGGGGTGTCGAGCAGGTGATGAATGGGGGAGTGGTGGGGGGGAGAGAAGGTGGTATGGAGGTGAAGGTGGTATGGAGGGCTGGGGACAAGATGTGCTTTAGTGACAACTCTTGTGAGACCTAAGGTTGAAGAGAGGAAGAGGGAACTGATAGAAGACAGGGGTGGTGTGTAAAACACCTTCAGGGAATTTAAAAGTGGCTCAGAAGGACAGTGTTGAGTTTAAAGGGAGAGTTTAAAGGGAGAGATGAGTTTGTGACAGAGGTAACAGAGTGGCTCTTGGGAATCAATGATGGCTTTCCAGAAGGCAGCCAGTCTTGCATCTTGAGTCAGACCAACAATCCACGTGGAGAAGCCCTGAAGGGGATCCTCTCTGCCAGCTGTTTATTTCAGCACCCAAGCTGTTAAGGTGTGTGTTAGTATTTTGGCTCTCTTCATCCTGATCCTCCTCAACTCTTCCCTACAGACCTGGCAGGTAAAATTTCTGAGAGGGAGCCTGGGCACAGGGTGGGAGTCATATGGAAAACCACCTATGGCAAGGGACGGGGAGAGCTGCTGCCTACCAGTATGGAGGTTTTATAATTCTTCACCTCCTGGCACCCATAAGCTTTCTGCTCTTTTTTTCACCCATTTAATCACCAGGAGCTACCTCCAACTGACACTTCCTATCAGACAGGAGAGAGCTGGAAGACATTCCTTACATTTTCGTCAGCCTTAGGAAGAGAATAATACAGTCGTCTTGCTGGGGGAGCGGATAGGGGACGGGGAGATATACCCTTTTGAACCCCAAGTCTGGCGTGCTGCGATGCAAAAGCCAAATTACAGCTGTCTGCTTGGGGAAGCCACTGCGCAGGCGCACTCCGCAGTTGCCAGGGAGATGCGGCCCCAACTACGTCTCAGCGATCTCCCCTACAGTAGCATTCCGAGAACTGAATGGCAAGGGCGGGATTTCCGGTGACGAGAAAATGAGTAACTGGAGAGCCTGAGTCCACCGGGTTCTTGAAAACGGGGAGGGGGTGGAGTTGTGAGGCAGGGAAGTATCCAACTCAAAATCTGGGACTTTGGAGAGGAGTCCTGCCCACGCACTAAACCGCGAGCCTCTCATTCTTCAACCTCTTTGCACTCTTAATCTGCACATGCTTGTGGGGCGGGGCAGGGGAAGGCGGCAAGCACATGAAGCTGCCAAGTTTTCCTTGCTCTGACTTTTTGGATTAGTGCTGTATCTGAGTACCCAAACAGGTCAGCTTTTCTGGGAGTTCCAGTAGAAAGAGAAACCTGCCAAGGGGAAGGTGTAGCATCTGGACCAACAATGATCAATGTAAAGCTGCCAATTGTTTTATTATTAAATATGTGCCAAGCACTGTGCTGGGTTCTTTACATGCTTAGCTCTAATCTTTCACTGAGTTCTCCAAGAAGCATTTTAATAGCCCCATTGTATACGACAGGAAACTAAGGCTTAACTAATATGCCCAAGGTCACACAGCAAGTCAATGAGAGCTGGGCTTGGAGTCCAAGGAGCCCCACTTTGGGACAGTGCTATGTTCCCACTCAAATTTGCTGACTTTCAGGAGATACAAGGAAAGACTGCAAGGCCAGAGTGGAAAGGCAAAATGATAGCCCTTAGAAAGATGATGAAAGTGATGCTAAAATTTCTCCAGGCTCTTCTTTGTTTCATCACTGGGGCTCTATGAAACCTGTCCAGGTAAAGAATATGCACTTTTGTCCAATTTCCTCTGAGTCCTCCCCAGTCTGCTCCTCTAAAAGCCTCCAGCATTATCTGCTGCTGGCTTATCACCCAGGAAGAGTCAAACATCACCATTTCTGGAGCTCCGGAAGTGTTCAGTGATTTTTTTCTTAGTGTTTTTAATCTCAAAATATTATCGGGGTACAAATGCTGAGGTTACATATATTGCCATTGCACTGCCCGAGTCAGACCTGCAAGCGTGCCCATCTGCAGAAAGAAAAATCTGCAGAAAGAAAAATCCGCACCCATTAGGAGTGAATTTACCCATCCCCTCCTCCCCCTGCCCTCCTGCCTGACACCCATGAATATTACTTCCATATGTGGACATAAGTCTTGAGCCGTTAATACTCACTCCAATACGTGAGTACATGTGGTGCCTGTTTTTCCATTCTTGTAATGCTTAACTTAGAAGAAAGGGCTCCAGCATCATGCAGGATAATATAAGAGGTGCTAGTTTACCATCGATTTTTGTGGCTGAGTAGAACTCCATGGCACACATATACCACATTTTACTAATTCACTCATGTATTGATGGGCACTTGGGTTGTTTCCACAGCTTTGCAATAGTGAATTGTGCTGCCATAAACATTTGAGTGCTGATGTCTTTATTATAGAATGACTTTTGTTCCTTTGGGTAGATGCCTAATAGTGCTATTGCTGGATCAAATGGTATTTCTATTTTTAGCTCTTTGAGGTATCACCAAATTCTTTTCCACAGAGGTTGCACTCTGTTCTTGTGCCAGTATAATGCTGTTTTGTTTACTATAGTTTTGTAGTATAGCTTGAAGTGTGGTAAATTGATGCCTCCCAGTTTGTTCATTTTGCTTAAGGTTGCTTTAGCTATATGGGATCTTCTCTGGTTCCATACCAAGTGTAGAATTATTTTTTCTAGACCTGTGAAAAATGATGTTGGCATTTTAATAGGGATTGAATTGAATCTGTGGATCACTTTGGGTAGTATAGACATTTTAACAATGCTGATTCTGCCAATCCATGAATATGGTATGGTTTTCCATCTGTTTACATCCTCTGCTATTTCCTTCCTTAGTGTTTCATAGTTCTCCCTGTAGAGGTTTTTTAATTCCTTAATTAAGTATATTCATAGGTATTTTGTTTTCTTTATTGCTATTGTGAAAGGTATTGAGTCTTTAATTTGGTTCTCAGTTTGACTGTTGTTGGTGTATATGAATGATGCTAATTTGTGTACATTGATTTTGTAACCTAAGACTTTGCTGAACTTATTTATCAATTCCAGTAGTCTCTTGTCAGCGATTTTTTTTGCAACCCTGAAAGAACAATGACCTAACAAAACTCCTGTCTTGTCCAATGTTGCTTTGTGTGCAAAAACAGAAGTGGGATATAGCCCTGTGTCACAGAGGCCATATGTACTTCCCCAGAAGTGACAGAAATGAGACTTATGGGGCACCTGTTTATGGTGAGGGAAAGCATATAGTCTCTCTGTGGCCACAGCCATTCCTTTGAAGGCCAGTAGAGACTTGGGTACTCTCTGTTCTTCAGGCACCAACTTAGAATTAACACCCCCTAGGAGAAACACTTAAGGGTAGAAGTGAGTGTCTAGTAAACAAGAATTACAGAGAATGCTGCACAAATTACTCCAATGTGCAATCACTGTTAAGCCTTTAGAACACCAGTCCAAATATCTTTCTTATCTGTTTGAATTGATTTGCAGAATGAAAAGGCCTGGGTTCATTTGCAGACTCTGTGGGCCACCAATATTCACCAAGTATTGAAGTTTTAACTATATTGGAGTTTGCAGAGTAGGTGTTGGTTAGATGTGATCTCATCATCTTATATATATATAATGCATCCAGAATCCCCTTTGACTTATGTTTGGGATCCTTCCTGGAGATAAAACATTGAAAGTATATTCATTTTCAGTTGCTGAGGCCCAGGAGTACCCTCTTTTGTAGAGAATGGTGGTTAGGGAAGATTTTTCCTGCTGTTTCTCTATGAGCTTATGTATACACACACAAGCCACCCACACATAAACATACAATTCAAGGAATAGCTGAGCTGGACTGGCATATATGGATTTCAAGGCAATTCTCCCTGCCCCAAGGATTGCTGCTTCTAAACGTCCTGATACTGACAACCTAGATAAGTCCATAAGCACCTTTCAGGTTCAGACAAGAATCCCATAGCCTCCTTCTCCATTCCTAGATGGTATCTCTAGACAGTAAGATTTTTCACTAAGCAAGGTTTGTCTTCCACCTTAATGAAGGTTCAGCAATGTCTTAAGGAATTCTCTGCTGGCAGGATTTGAGAGTAGGTGCAAATAAAGATTGGAAAGGAAAAATATACCCTGATACACTTTTGTTTTATGCCCCATAGGAATAAAACAAGCACCTGATAAGGAGGCAACAGTATATTAGAGTGGTTAAGAACTCTGTATCTTCACAGTATTGGCTCTGTCACTTACTAGCTGTGTGACCCTGGACAAGTTAATCAATATCTCTTTCTAGACCACTTGAAGCTGTTTTCAAGAACTTGATAGAAAACCCCAGGGCCACACATCCCACCCACTATTTGATGATGTCAGAACTGTAACCCAAGCTAGTTGTATCCCAGTCTAGTGATATTTCCATGCCACACCACTGCTTTTAAGACTACTACTTGTCAATGCCTTGGTAGTTGAGTTCAAATGAATACTGGGTTGTTAGAATTATTAGTCTTTGTTTTCTTTAGTAAGTACTTCAGGCAAATATTAACCCAAGTGGTTATGAATTAGTGGGGTTTAGCTGTATCAATAATATATTGTTTGTAGACTTCAATTCACAAGACATTTTTCTGGAAGCTTATGGGCAGTCCATTTAAGCAGACTTTAGTGTCCTACAAGAAACCACATGCCTTACTTACTTACCACATGCCTTACTCAGGGGTTCTCAGTCAATGAGTATGACTTCCCTTCTAAGAAGGCAGAGTTAAAGAGGGAGTTGGGAGCTGAGAC